TTGACTTTTTGAGTTTTCATTTCGACTTCATGTATAGTTATGATGCTAAAGCAGAAAAGGATAATGAAATTATACAAAGGCAACTTGCTAAAGGGGTAGAACAAAGGGCTATTGCTGATCTTCATCAGTATCAAACTAATGCTCAAAACCAGGTAAATAGAATGATAGGTAATATGACAAGAAAACAAGCCTGTATAGGCATGCTGGTACAAGAAAAATTTGCCTTACAATTATTATATCAGCGAAATGCCCACCACCTACAGCGAAGCAGAGGAGATATAGGTCTGTTAGAATATAATCGAGACAGGCTCTATGAGCAATATGAGAAATGAAAGGCTAAAGAAAAAAATTCTTGCCAAAATATTTTAAATTTACAAGGGCAAATTTTAGCACTACAGAATAATCCATTTAATCAAGTAAATATGGCAGGAATACCTCATCCATGGTTTGACTGGAACGATAATATCCTAGACTTTCTTATGTAACTTAGACTAGACTTGCAAAATCGTGGTATAGATCCAGCAGGTGTTGGGGCTAATGGAAGAGCTCAGGCAATAGGACTTATAGGAAGACTTTCATGTGATTGGCTGATAAGGTTACACGAATTTTATAATTGATAGTGTAATTATTTATATGTAGCACATGATATTATTACGCGTAATATTAAACTGTATAACTATTTAAAAGTTAAAAGTTTATACTGTATGTATTAACTGTTAATTTTAAACTTAAGTTTAAAAGTTTGTGTTATTAAATGTAAGCTATATTAAAAGTTTTAATACTGATTTAAAATTAAATTACTTAGATTCATAAAAAAAATTTGAAAAAAAAATTGAACTGCACCATTTAACGATCATTTCATTTCGTTTCGATATTTCGATATTAAATAATTAGTTTTATTTAATTTTAGTAATTTAATTTTTATAATATTTGTAATTAATATCTTTTTTTTTTGTAATTTTTTTAATAATTTACAATTTTTGATTTTTTTGACTAATGTAAAATCAGAAAAATCATTGAGTTAAATAAAGTCAGATTACTGATTAACTAAAATATTTATTATTTATAAATATTATTGTAATTGAAATTTTCGCAATGCTTCTTCTAATGTAAATGTCATACATTCCACTGGTTCATTTTCATCATTATCATCACAAAGAATATTATCATCATCCTTTTCAACTTGTATTTCATTGAATTGTTGCAATCGTGTTAGTAAGGACTGGACATGCTCATCAATACCATCTTGTAGAAATGAGAGGCAATGCAAACACTTGAATCCATTATTATCATAACAAATTTTATGATATGTATGGCCGCAAGCTAAAACTACAATTGAACCTGTATCAATAGATGAAAGAATAGGACAATTAGTTATATCACAATAACAAAACGGATTTGGCTTATGTAAAGTACTGAAACCTAAGGGAAAATGGCATAATTTTGCTTCTGGCATTTTCATTGCAGTTAGGATAACGGTTTCATCATTAGATTTCCTTTTCCCTTTCTTTTTTGAAGATGAATTCATGGAGACAGTCTGTAATGGAAATATTAATGGTACTTTATCATTAAAAAAACATATATAAATATCTGAAAAACATTGCAACAAAAAACAAGCACTTTTCTTTGTTAAAATCGTAATATCCCACGCAGAATATTTATATGCCGCCCATGTTGATGTATGTGCAAAGTTTTCTTTGAAACCATTATCATCCAAACGTAATTGGTTGATATAACGCCTATATTTGATAATCTGTTGTGCTTCTGTATATTTCTGTGTACCTCTACGCAAGAAACTATGAAAAATCTCAACGGTTGCATCTGAGAATTTTGGAAGTTCAGCCTTAATAGTTTCTAGAATTGGATGGTTATTTAACTCCCAGTAAAAGATATCAGAAAAGAACATCAATGGTGCTTTAGTATAGTTTTTGTGTTGAAATCTAAGAAATATTGTCCAGACATGATAGCAAGATTCCAAATAAGCATTAAAATCACCAGATCGAAAAAACATAGCGTAAATATCCAGAACTAGAGGAATGGTATTATCAAGGAGGTCTTTAAGTGCAAGGTATTCAGCATCTTTACATAAATATCCAAATTTTTCTTCAACTACTTTAGAAATTTCTTGCCAAGTACTACGAGAAACTTCTAAAAGTAGATTTATATGCCATGGTTTAGGTTTTTGCGCAAGTGGCTTTTTTTCTCCAAATATGTTCTTATACATAGCTGAAAAAAAGGGCTGATGCTGAAGAAATACTAATTCACGGCTGTTTAATGAAATATGTAAAGGACTTATAATAGGAATAAAAGATAAGATAGAATTAGTAATATTTGAAGTGTCATGATAAAGCAAGTAATGAGAAATAGCTGTTCTAAGATAAATTTGGCCTAGCCAATCAGTAACAATAGGAATAACCTGTCCTTTTTGAATATATTGTTACATAGATGAAACATTTGTGACGGCACCAATGGCTTTAACATATGCATCTAAAGAGTGAAGATTATTTTCTTGTAAATCTACAAGAATAACAACCTTCATAGAACGAACAATACGTTTTTCTTTTAACCTAATATCATAACTATGTATAGTCAACTCTTCTAGTTTTGTTTTATCATCAACCATACAAAATTCCCATCGCTGATTATGTGAATAACCATAAAGTGTCATAAACTTATTTTCTACATTTGTTTTGATCAATGCAGCATCAACTAATACAGGATTATGTATATTTATTTTTGAAATTGCATTCTGCGTAGCAATTGGATTCATTAGAATTGTTGCTAAATGTGCTGCGGTAGATGTAGTAGTCGTATTTGGTATTCATTTTGTATGAATGCTGTGGTAATCATCAATATTTAATATCATTGCTTTATCTGAATATTCAGCAAGTGCAGAATTAACAGTTTCGGCATGTTCTTCAGATGCAGTAGTTTTGTGTCATGTAACTGTACGAGATGTTGTAGTTATACCTAAATTTGCAAGAGTATCAATAGAAGTGTTAGAAACGTCAGTAGAATCCAAATATATTGTCAAATCCTTCTTTGCATTATTAATAAACTTATTCCGAATTCCACAAAGAAAATAGCATATAAATAAAAGCTGTTTTTTTGCTCGTACCTGTGAATCTTTATTTTTTGAAGATAGATTAGATGAAAGATACAATTCATCAAAAAATAGTTTTAACCTTGCATCCTTTGCTTCCATAATTGCCCAAAACTCATCAAACGAATATAAAGTTGGTTCCTTTTCTTTGTTTTCGCGAGTATGTAGAATATTTGTTATCATTTCTATTGCTTTGGAAAAAGATAAAATAGAGTTAGATTCATCAGTTTCAAGCTTACGTCATTTTACATTAGTTTCAGCATATTCTTTAGCATGTTGTTGAAATTTGAGTGAGTTATTTGTAATAATTCCATTATAACAGTTTAAACAAATTGTGTTGCCTTCTTGAACATAACCCAGTAAAGTATTATTAGCTCGACCTTTAGTCAAAACATTCTCAGTTACTCTTCTCCATTGAGTCGAATTTTTCTGGCATATATTAATCACACAAGGCCCGGTAATGGTATTTAATAGTGACATTGCCTTCTAAGTAAAGTACCTCAAGATTTCTGATTATTTTTTGATTATTTTAAACAGCGTATTCTAGCATTCTTTTAAAATTAAAAATGAATTTTTTTGACTTTTACTAATGGTAATACCATATACTAAAAAAGTACTCTAAACTGTATAAATTCAATTGAAATCGATCGGCCAATCACGTGAAAGTCTTCCTATGACAATAGGACATTTAAGAGCGTGTATGAGAAGAAGGACCTTGGAATGGTTCGATGAAGAAATTACTACAAAGCAAAATTGGGAATTAACTAATCTGACTGATGGTACAGGACAAACCAATTTAGTAGCAGTAAATGGATGCAATGCTGGTCAGATAGGTGCTGATGGTTTAAATGAGACACTCAGACAACCTGGAAATACAATAGTAAAATTAAGAGCTGTAGAAGGCCCTTGGGATGAAGACTGGCGTATAGCAGGTAGTCGACCTAGTAATCTTGCACTAAATGCATCAAATGCTGGTGCTGATAATACTGTAGTTGTATCTGGTTTCGATTTGGTCAAGCTATATGGTGGCTGAAAACTCATTTCCCTACAATAGAAGAAGAACTTCGGGATTTGATGTATGGAACAATCAGAAAGGGAGACATGACTATAGATGAATTATATAGAAAAATATTAGACGAGCTAACTATAGACCTGAAGAATTACGTAGGAAGTTCATAGATGCCCTTCCACTTCCATGGCTTGAAAAAGCTGAGGATATTAACGAATATTTACTATTAGATGAATTAGCTAAAAAGCTTTATGAGATAGAGTTACGTTGAATAGCTAGACATAAAAGAGATAAAATATCAGATCTGCTAATATCTAATCGAGTATCTCAGCAAATATATGAAACTTCATCTATTTCAGCCCTATAATAGCATGAAATATCTTTAGAAGATATGCAAAAAGCAATTCAGAATGCATTAGCATAACAAAAAACTAAATATCAGTCTTTATTAGAAAAGCAAAAATCTGATTTTCAATCGCAAATGGCTTAACAATTAACTACCTCACAAACTGTTGAACTGGTTAGATAGCTAAAAGGTACACCATTCTCATTACAGACAGAAGAAGGTCGCAAAGATTATTACATAACTGAATTTCTAAAAGATTTAGATTTTGTCAGTAAGGGAGAATTTGACAGAGATTATCCTGTAAAAAATTTTCAAAGATCTCGTCAACAGCAAAACAATAATTTTGTTAGATTTGATAGGATCGAAGAAAGACTTGAGGAAACTCAGAATAATGTAAATCAGTTAGCTGATCTATTTCAGAAAAAGCATACATATAAAAATGTGAAATTTGTGAGGAAACGGGTCATAGCAAAGGAAGTTGTCCAAATAGACTGATAGCTTAATCTAATTTTACTCAGTCATCATATTTTACGCCTCTTAAACTAATAGTTCCTAATTCAGATGGTGAGAAAAATAATGGGGATGGTTATGATGAGGACAATAATAGATGGATTGGATATGACCTACCGGTAAAAAAAACAGGTAAATGATAAGTTGGCCAGTGATACTGATGCAATCTTACCCCTAGAATCTAGCTAACCTAAAACCTACGATCAGCTATTGTCTAAGCTTTCACCACCGATACGAAAAATGTGCTTGTCTCAAAGGCTCAGAAAGAGAAATTGAAAGAATCAGATGAGTGGTTGTCATCTTTACAATATCTGAATGCTAATATAAATGACTTAACTATTTCTAAAACTTTTTTAGATCCTGGCAGTGAGTTCGGTGGTATAAATGATCCAGCAATCAAAGTGCTTGGATGGAAGGCTGATAAACCATCTAATTTTGCCATAAAAGGCAATTCCAAGCATATCACCGATTCATTAGGATGGTATACAGACGTGCCAGTTACCTTGAAGGATAAAGAAGATAAGATGGTCACAGTTATTGGAAATTTTGTTCGTATTGATAATGATGAAACAGAACCAATGCTATTTTTTAGTATATCAAACATTCGAAAGGTTCAAGGTGTTCCCGAGCCAAATAAAAACCAGTTCCGCATAAAGTTATATGGAAAGACATATATTATCCCAATCTTTAGCAAGACTCCGGTAGTCAAGAATCTACCAAAAGAAGATTAGATATCATCATGTGAAATGCCTCTCAGCTCTTAGGTTTCAGCTAATTCTTCTAATCTAACTAGTGAAGAAGACTTAAAAAAAGTGCAAAGAGCTTGAAAAGCACCTCATAAAGACTGAAGAAATGCTCTATTTGGCCTTAAGTATTGGGAAATTTCTTGCTGATACATGTGAATCCTTATATAAGGGAAGTAGTATTAGCTGTTAAACCCTTAAACTTTTTACCACAATTAACTAGATTTTTAAGAAGAGATTCCACCTTATCTTCCTGGGATGTATCAGACGAATTATCAGAAGAGACTACACCATTTTTGTTATTTTTTCCACCATACTGGTTGCTTTAGTAACCGGCTTCTCATCTATTTTAACCTTCTTTTTTCGACCATTCTTTTTTGGAATCTCTGTAGCCAGAAGGAGTATAGATGATACTTCTGATACCGATTCAAGAGTCTATTCTGTCTTATCAGTTTGGAAATTTTTATCCAAAGCAGGCTGATCAAGCCATTGCTGAAGGCATTCTTTATTATCTCATATTTCATAAACACGCTTAGGTCTGATATGTAATTTTTTAGCTATTTTTCTTGATGCACCAGGTATCCTGCCTCTGGATTCTCTAATTTCTTTGATATCAGCTTCTGTTAACAGGTTGCCTTAGCATTATAAAATGTATCATGAAGATAAGCTACCATCTTTACAGAATTTTTATACTAGAAAAAAAAATAATGCTTTCAATAAATATCAATGCGTATCAATGTGTACGAATCAATACTTTTCAATATGCATTAATATTTTTTCAGTGTGCATTGATACTCTTCGATGAGTATTGATATGTTTTAATACCCACCAATGCATATTAATATGTTTCAATGCTTACCAATGTGTATTAATATATTTCAATACCTACCTATGTGTATAAATTTGCCAAGAAAAAAAATATATATCAATAAAATGCCTCAGATCCGTATCTTAAAAGATCCAGATAATAGTAATAAACTTGGAGATACTCCAGCTAATTATTATCCTCCCAGTCGAACAGATCTTGAAGAGCAACTTTCTTGCGCAAAAAAAGATCGTGAAGTAGCTATTTATTGAGAAAGTTAGTTTGCAGATGAATATGATATCATAGATAGAGAAAAAATGCGCATACAGGATGACTTTGATAAATCCAAAAATGAAAATGAAAAACTTTCTGATAGGGTGCATCAACTTGGAGAAGAAATAAGACAATTACATTCAGAAAAAAATGAGCTTATACTTCAGATTACTCACAAGAATATTTCTCTTGCAGATGCTGAAAGCAAATTCTCTATAAAATTGGAGAAGATGCAAGCCCTCTAATCCAAGATGGAGAAAGAGATACAGGCTCTCCAATCTAGGGTAGAGGAATTAGAGCGGGATCTTTCTTTAGCACAGGAGGAGTTGTCAGAAATGGAATCTCTCTAATCTAGAGCAGAGAATTTAGAGCGGGATGTTTCTTTAGTACGGGAGGAGTTATCAGAAATGGAATCCCTTAAGCGTAAATGGGAACTGAGAAATGCAGAACTATTTACTAAAAATATTGACCTAGATTTAGAGAAAAGAGATTTAGAAG